GGCCGGCGGCGCCGTGCCCCCCCTGAGCCGCGCTTCTCCCCGCAGGGCGAGTCACCAAGACGAAGGACGGGCACGAGGTGAGGTCCTGCAAGGTGGCGGACAAGACGGGCAGCATCACCATCTGCGTGTGGGACGAGATCGGCGGCCTCATCCAGCCGGGGGACATCATCCGCCTGACCAAAGGGTGCGTACGGGGCCGCCCCGCGCCCGCCGGGCCGCGCAGCCCTTTGTCACCCGCGGGGCCCCTCCAGGGCCACGGGGGACACGGCCGCCGCCTCCGACCCGCTCCGTGTTACCGAGCCAGCGCCCTAAGGTCACTTGCCAAATTAAACCCACCTTTCCCAGGCCAGAACATGCCTAGCGTGAGTGTACAGGCTAGGAGGGGCTTGGGTTTGTAATAAGGAGGTGGTGGTGAAGAGATTCGGGTTGGCTTTAGAAAGCTCCCTAGGGAAATACTTCTGGGGCAGGGGGGAAAGCAACAGTCAGTCCTGGTCTGTAAATCAAGCAGGGGAAGTCCAAAGCATGTTCTTATTTTCACAGCTAGTTCTTTACTCTGGCAGTCAGCCCCTTCATGAAAGAAGGGGATGGTTACATGTCACGCAGAAAAGTTGCTTTTCGTGGGAATGATATAACAAAAATGACAGGCAGATGAGAACCTTTTAAGTTTCACTGTAAAAATTCATTGTAGGGCTACACTGTAGAATGTGTTAATTTGGTTAGGTGCGAATAATTTCTCAGAGGTGGTTTAATTAAAGAAAGAAACAAACCCAACCCCCAAACTTACTGTGAGAAAGAATGCTAGAGTCAATATGAAAATCCTTTTACGTGTCACTTAAATTGTCACTAGTGAAGTCATAGTAAGCTTCATTTTAATTCTTCCTGCCAGTTAGGTTACACTTTCAGAAATCCATTACAGTGATCCTTTGGCCTATGGCAGGCCAGGATCTGCAGTGTGTGTAAGGTCCTGTTAATTTGTTTTTATGAAAAAATAGGTGAAAGGTGACTCAGGCTGCTAACTGAGCTGTTCTTAAGTTCATTTGAGTGTAATTCTCAGTTCTGGACTGAAATTGCATGACCCTTGCCACCAAAACTACAGCTGCTTCCTCCTATGCAAATATCCTTTTACACAAAATGGGCTGACTCCTCAGCAGAGGTGGTTCTGGGGAAGGCTGCTTGCGTGGAGAGCACGTGGAGCGCAGGGATGGGCAGAACTAAACCAGAGCTCTGGGCCAGCACAAAGCCCTGTGTGTGTAGATGACATTGAAATAAATTGAGAGCGATACTGTTCAGCAGCTTTACTGCACTCCCTTCTGTGACTGGCTTACTTTAACTGCTCTGGTATTTCTGTGCAACAAATGGGAGAGTCATGGCATCCTTGAATGTGAAAAACTGAGCTTGGCTTGTATGTATTAAATTTATGAGCTGACATCACTGTTTCTGGTGGGTGGCAAAGTCATGCCTTCATTTACGTGAATTGGATGCTCCCTTAAGACTGTGGAGGGAGTGAAATGGCAAAAGCAAAATCCATCCTGGTTTGTCTCTCATATTCAGAAAATTGGTCTCATGCTGGCATATGGAGTTCTCCAAACACAATTTCATATTTAAATAGAATTGAGTGTGTGATGTTGCCATTGCAAGGCAGGTAAATTTCAGCTCTGTAGGGTAAGCTGACTTCATAGTGCAGGATGCCCTCTGATACAAGCAGAAAAGCTTACACAGGCACCATGGGTAAACATGCCTTTTTTTCCCCTTGCTGAATTTCAAGCTGCAGATTCATTCCTCTGCAAAAGCAGACACTGTTTTGCTTACTTTTGTCACTGGGTGGCGAACCCATTTACAGGAAGCTGTTGCACTTAATATTTCTAAATTTGAAATTAGTGCTGGAGTTTAGTGCTTAATGGTCAGCTCTTTTTGAGATCAAAACAAATGCTTGCTTATGTGGAATAACTTAAGTACTGGAGGTTGTTAATCCCATGATTTGCTGGGTCTTTTCCCAGTAAATGTATGTTTGACTTAGACTTGTTGTTTGGTAGCTCTTCTCCTTTGTTTTCTGCCACAAGACTGTCTGATTAGCTGTTTATTAAAGGTTAAGCAGTGAGGCAATCTTTAAAGTGAATCTATGACGTGAAGAACACTAATCCTTGTTCTGTATGGAAAGTTCCCAAGCTAGCACGTGCAGTTACAGTGCCTGTGCTTTCCTGCTGGTGCTGATGTATGGAGAAGGTTATCACTGGCAGTGCTGTCCTCTCCTGACAACCTGACTCCTCCCTGGTGCCTCTTCAGGGCCCTGCATTTGGCCGGATGTCTCCCAGTCTCAGCAGATAAGGCAAAGGGCAAGAGGAAGGTTTGTTATCTCTGTTCCAGAGATATACCTGGAACGTAAGGACGTGGTGACTTGTCCCAAGTGGTGACTCTGTGAGTGCAGTTGCTGAGGCGCTCTGTTCCTGTGCTAGAAAATACACGTATTCTTTTTAACTCCCTTGCACTGTGCCTGTGTTTCTGGTCTGCATTTTCCTCATTCTCTACACATATGTGATGCCCCTCACTGAAGGGAACAGTTACACAAAATTTTGTATGGCTCAAATTTCAGTGCTTGAAGTCAAGTGCCACCATAAAGAATAGAATGCATTCACACTGTCTTTGTAACGGAATGTTCCTGCAATCAAAAAAATATTTCAGTGTGCTTCTACACATCACTTAGAATTTGATGGCCAAACTTAATCCTTTAAAAAATCCAGTCTGGTAAGGACCTGTATTAAGAATGTAAGCACTTTTGATCATGCATGTTCAGTAGCAGTAGCTGTTCTCCAGCATGCAAAGGTGATTCTTCCTAGCTCCTGCTGAAAGCAGAACTGAGAGTTGTCACCAAATAAAACACAGATACTGCTTTTGGCAAAATGCCTTTTTCTCTGCAGGATAAGTCATAAGGGTTGCTCCAGTCAACAAAAGAGCATCCAATCTCAAAATAATTGGCTGCTTTCCTGGGATTGTCAAAGGAGTCTGCTGAGCTTCCGGTACCTTTTGCTAGAAGTGGTACATGGGGATCTATAAACCATTGGTGTTGATGACACTGGGGTCCCTGGGAATTTTTTTAGTCCATGCTGGTGTGTAAGACTTGTTAACTTCCTGAAAGATAGCATGCTTCTGCTTTCTCTGTCAGCTCATTCACTAAGAAGCTGCTTCACTTCTCCTTCCTTTGGCCAGGTACGCATCTCTGTGGAAAGGATGCCTGACACTTTACACGGGACGAGGAGGGGAGCTGCATAAAATTGGGGAGTAAGTATTGTGTATTCATACTTCTCAGCAGAGTGTCATGGTAAGTATGAGACCTGGTAGCTCTTGGGAAATGGAATTTAGGGCAGCAAAAAGCGTGTTCTCAGTTGGTCATGGATGTAATGAGCTCTGACCCTTTCTGGGCTGTAGGTCATTTGAAGAAAATCAGCCTCCATCACTGGCACAGGTCTAGGAGGAGAAAATGTATAAATGACAAGGGACCTTAATCTGCATTGCTTACCTAGGCCTTACCTTGATTAACCACTTTGTTTTGGTGGAAGCCTTTTGTATGTGTGTCATCCTTGAAGGACAGGCAATGCAGAGAAGGTAACTCCAGTGAATCATACCCAAGCAGAAGCAAACCTCATTAAACCTGCTTTAAACTGCCCGCAGACTGGGGCAACAGCTCCTGCCTAAGAACAAACATGAGTAACATAATTGACCAATAGAAACAACAGCAACATTTTCTAACCAGAAGAGTATTTTTCCACTATTGCACAAAGTGGTGTGGGAAACCTTGCAGTCATCAGGGAAGTGGGGCTCTGGGGTTGCCACATATCTTCCTGTATGGTTCCAAAATGCCCGGTGTTCAGATGGATTTACATGAAAAGAATGTACAGATTGTCTTGTACAAAATCCATGAGCTCAGAAGTGTCACCCAGCTGACTTAGTCTCCAGCAGGCTGGAGTGATGAGAGCCCTTCACTGGGTTGTGCCTCCCAGCAGCAGGTGGGAGCTCCACTTGTGTTTTACCATTCCAGGCAGTGTAATGATCCAAATCTTCCCTCTCTGCTGTAATTTCCATGTAGTGAGTTGATGGGCCTATTCTGCCACAGTCCCCTTGAGTGGAAAAGGATGCTTTGAATTTCATTGCCTGTTTTGGGCTCCTCTGTGCTGTTAATGGGGCACTGCACAGTATGGGAGCATGTGGGTGGGAGTGAGTTTTCTCTAGAGGCGTAATGCAATCCCTGTCTGGGAGCAGGCTGGGTGACTCAGTGACCTTTTGGGTGGGTGCTGGATGAGATTGTCCCAACTGGAAGAGAGACAGAGGGAGCCCTTTCATCACCTTTAGTTTTATTTAGGCTAGTTTACCTCCTTGAGTAAATGAATACTTGAGTCTGCTTAATTGAAATGCTCTCACCAGGAAGATGTGGCAGCCTCACCACAAGACTATAAAGGGATCAAAGAGCCTTTTGGTACCTATGGATATTCTCTAAACACTGGGGTCTGGATTAATTACTTCTAGGTGATGGGATGTGTCTAGAACATATGCTCTGTGAATTGTGGAGTTGAGAACTCTGTTAAAATGGCTTTAGAACTTTCTAATAATCCTAATTTCTTCCCAGGTTCTGCATGGTTTACTCTGAAGTGCCAAACTACAGCGAACCCAACTCGGAACACATCGGGCAGAACAAATTGGTATGTTAAACTTGTGTGAGGCTTCTGGCCTAAAGTGCTCTGTGTTCTGACTATTTCACACTAGGCTGTGATCAGATGTGACTCTTCTGGAAAAATGGACTTAGTGATATATAGCTAAAAATGAACCAATAATTGAAGTAGCAGATAAATTCCATGTGGACCCACTGTTAGAACATAGATGGGGGAAAAAAACCAGCCCCTTTCTGTGAAAGTGTGAATGTTCTTTCTCTGATCCATGTCTTTTTTTTTTTCCTTTTTTTTTTTTTAACCTTTCTCTAAATACACAGGGTGAACAGAATAATATTTCTGCACCAAGTGGTATGGGTACTTGTACTTTTGGGCCACTGGGTAAGTTTTTTTCAGTTTGTAGAAGTGAAGACATGAGAAACACTTAATGGGAATAGAAATTTATTTCAAAGGTTCTCCATTCTTGTGATAAAAAAGTGCACTAGGCTCTAAAAAATCATTCAGTCTGGGGCCTGAACCTCATGCATGTAATCATGAACATTTCCTGAAACTGTTTTCAGGGTTTCTTCTGTAGAAGAGGAGATCAGAATATTTGGGGTGCTTATATCACATAAGGGGTCTTGACTAATCTTAAATTGTTGTGGTGCTTTTGAAAAGTTGTTGCAGCACTTGAAATTCTGCTTTTTTAAACTTCCTGAGACATTGGCTTTAAAAATTACTTCAGTCTTGCTGGACACCATGACTTTCCTCCCTGATTTGCTCCTGAAAACGGAAGTAGTGGTAATCTGAATTCCAGTACTTTAGTTATCCAGATAATTTTGTGCTGCATTTAAACATAGACTCTTAAATGCAGATTTAAGAATGAAGCATGAAAATGCTTCAAGGCTTTGAGCAGGTATAAGCTGAGAGGGAACTTTAATTCTGGCCTGCCTACACAATGCCCATACTCAGTAGGTGGTGTTATAAAGCTGTTATTGTGACCTTTCTTGCTTTAGCTGAGAAAGGGGAGTTAGGGATGGAGGGAAGGGAGTTTGGGAGGGGAAAGGTCAGCTGTGATTTGGGGTCTTGCAGTGCCAGAGCGGCTTTTCCTTCTGGTCTTCAGGATTTGGTGGTTACTGCAAACTCCATGTATTCCTTGTTGGTAAATTTATGTAAGGAATCAGTGATTTCAACCCATGGAACTTGTGATAACGTTTTTTGTCTTCTTAGGAAATGGTTTACAAACTGGACCTGAAGCAAGTGGATTTCCATTCACGTATAACCACGGCCACATTTATGCAGGTAGTGGGAGAGGCAATGGACGAGGACCTGTAAATCCAGCACCAGCTAATAGTGTTCAGCCTCTTCCCCCTGCTGTCAGTAACGGGAGGGACCCACGCAGGGCCTTTAAAAGATGACTATGCCAAATGTGGTTGTACAGCTTGCTTAAACTCTACACTCTACTTGAACACTTACTGCACTTTTATTTATAGTTAACTGTGAACCAGTTTGTCCTTTGGTTTTGTTTTTTTTCACCTTTTGGTGTATGGAGCAAACTTGATGTGATCTATTTCTTGTTTTGCATCAGGGAAGCACAGTGAGTCTTCCCCGTATGTAAAGGGGGTAGGGGGAGAAGGTGGATACAAGGAAGTAAGGGTCACAGGTGGAAGTGTCTCAATGAAAACTCTGTGCCCTTTGCTAACCAGAAGAAAATTTCGGTTACATACACGTATTTCTGTTGGTCAACCATGTAGCCTTAATAGGTCTACTCTGTCCTGTGCACGCATGCGTTGACTTCCGCTAGGGATAATGGGAGCTCTTCCAGTTGGAAGAGAAATGAAGGGGAAGAGCAAAAATGCTCTGGTGAGCTTGGTGTCCTGGGAATGAGCATGGCTTGTGAAAGCAATAAGTGGAAGGAAGTGGTGGTGCCAGACTTAGTGGTGTCTCTGGAATCAGAGAGTGGATAGCTCCGATCAAAGCTATGGTGAGTGTCTTGAAGCTTGATTCTGATTCCAGAAAGGTGTGCACTACTTGAAAAATTCTCTCTAAGCACCATTATCACTGTCAAGGAAAGTGACACTGATTTTTGCTTTGGATAGAAGCTTGGATATTTGTTCTTGCTTTGCATGAGATAGCAGAACAGGAGGATCTAAATTCAGACAGTGTTGGGGAATATGCTTTTTGTAACCTTCCCATGCGTAAAAGCCCAAGGTTACTTTGCAGGAGCCTGAATTTCCAGGAGTGGACTGTTCTCAAATGCTGCATTACCCATCTCTTCAATGAGTCTGCCTACTCCCCCTTCCTTCATTCACTTTTACGAATAAATTATGTATTAGATGAAGCTGTATATGTGGATTGCAGAGGTACTGGCCAAGCACACAGCGGCACTTCTGATGCTGTTAAGCTTTCCTTCCTCTGTTTTATATGAAATAGGAATTATCCCATGAAGAGCCCCCTCCATATCCTGGGGGGTAAATAGCTGGTTTTATTTCTGAGATCACAAATGCCTTGACTCTAGAACAGAGTCCAGTGCCATATTTCAGATCAGGTTCAAAAACAACTCGGAAACTGAGGTGTCATACTGGATTCATCTGTTTAACTCTTCTTAACTGACCTCTCAAATAAAAAAAATTGCACTAACCACATCAAAAACAAATCTAACTTTCTTTCTGTCAAGCCATAAAGACTTCATGACAAAAGGTTGTTTCTGAATTGTGAGTTGTCTCTGTGGTCATTCATGTTCTTTGGATCTACCGATGTGTTACTAATGTTTACAAGTTGTTTACATTTGATACTTCTTGCTTTTGGTACTCTTTCATGATATGCTGAAAATTGCTTCTAATTGGTGCAAGTTCCCTGCTTGGTGTGAAATACTGAACCTTCGTTTGAAATGGAAGCTTCAGCAAGAACAAAGCGCTGAAGGGAGGTTGAGAGAGACCTGTGTGCCCAGACACCTGAGGGCTGTTTGTTTCTACTCTGGTGAAGTGCTTTCCTGGTACTTGCAGGTGGAACTAGTGAAACTTGTTTTGGACAAAAGAGGGTGGCATGCCTCAGGAGATCCCCTCTGGGTGCTGCTGTGGAAGAATACTGCTCACTGGTGAAGCAGAAAGCAGTAATTCCTGGGGAAATGGTGTAAAGAGGCCACCTGTAACTCAGGGACTTCAAATTGCTCGCATGTTTAAATAGATGTGATGTATAGTCTAGATGAATGGACAGCCTCTTCTGCAGTGTTGCTTTAAGACATTTGATATGCTTGTGAGAAGGAAGCCAGGAGGACTTCTAAAGGCAGGAAGTACCTGTGCTGTGTTCCAGAGGTACATAAGATGTAAGTATGGTGAGAGCCGTGCTGCACAGTCAGTAGTAGCTGTAAAGTCAGCTAGTGAACAGTGCAGGTGGTGGCATGGTGGGGACTTTGTACTCATTGGAGTTACCTCCAGTGTGGATCTCAAGTCCTGGGGATCTTCTCTGTGGCACAAAGAAGTTAAAATCAAGGGCAACCCTGTGTTAGTGTGTGCTGAGGTGCCTGATGTTTGTAGCTCTGCATCTGAGCCTTTATTAAGCTAATAAACAGACAATACTTCACATATTCCAAGTAAAAAGTGATATGATTAATGCTAAGTGGCATAAGATTAAAACCCTGCCGTCAAGTGGGTGATTGATGTGCAGTTGGGAGAAAAAAAGGAAGAGACAGGTCTTCATGTTCTCAAGGTTAGTAGCATTCCTGCTTTCCTGTTTCTTACATGAAACTATTGCAATTTACTAATAAGTTTTTACTTCTTTGCAGGGGAAATCTTGTGCCCTGAGATGGACATGGACTTCAGTATAATTTTTCAAGGTCCTCTGATCTTCCACTGAAAAGTTGTTTCCCTCAGAGCTATCAGTGTCAAGATAGTAAGCTCTCAGCTTGCAGAGGAATCTGGGAGCCTTCCTTAGAGCTGTTGGGATCATACCACCTCAGTTCACAGACACAGACACACATCTCTCTGTGCAAACAGGCAGTGAATTGCTGTGACATGCTAAGGCACTTCATCAGTGCTCAGTGGTTGGGTCAGGGAGTCTCTTTACAGATGCCTTCCTCCTTAATGGTTAGGCTGCACTTAGGGTAGTCTCATTCCTCATAATACAGATTTCCAAAGGAAAAAAGACACTGGAAGGTGTTCATGTACCCAGACACAAGCTGCATGGTGCTGAAGTGCTGCTGAGTAGTCCCCATACACTTAAATCACAAGATGCCCTGTTCTCATCACCTTACAACAGCTCCCCCTCTCCTACTGGCCCAGCACAAGGACTGATGGCAGAATGGCAGTGGAAAGAGTTGTGCTGTGTTAGTGCTGCCATCTGCTTTTTCTGTCTGTCCTCTGCATGAGTCACCTTGATTTAAAAGTGGCAAAGCAGTCCTGTACTGTGAAATACTGTCCTAACTTTGGATACAGGGGAAAGTCAGAACACCCCATGTCTACAGTGAAAATGGGAAAGTACTGTAAGAACAAATACAAATGCTGGACCAAAATGCAGGACCTGAAATGTAATCTGCCTTCACAACTTGTTATATGAGCTTTGGCCAATACCTTGAAACTGGCAGGTTGCAGTCCTGTGCTCTCCAAATAATGCTGCTCTTCAGCATCACAAATCCCAGGAGGGGTGTCTGCAGTGAGTGTTACTTGCAAAGCTGGAGGGGTGGTACAAAACACCTTTTCTACCTCAGTGCTGTGTCTGCACAGAAGACCCCCTTAGTGTTCATGGGCTGTCCATCATGTTCTCTGGACAGGGCAGTGCTCAGGAGATGGGTGCTATTCCCTGAAACCCCCTATGTTTTTTCACAGGCACTGAACCTTGTGTTTTGTAATGAGCTGGCTGCTATGGCCATCTTCTGCAGCTCGTGTACGTACTCCTAAAACAAGGGATCTTTTCCCTGCTCGAAGGCAATTTTCTTCAGAAGCTCCTGCAGTGCTTTTACAGGACTAGGAAGTAGTAAAAGCAATGGGGTTTGGAGTGTTTCTGGGGAAGTCTCCTGGGCTCCTTCATGGCCTGTATGTTTTCACCTGCCAGGTTATTCCCTTGTTTCTCAAATGCTTGTAGATTTGCCCAATCAAACATGCTGTTTGTCCTTAACCCCTGAGCCAAGCAGTTATTTGCACTGCGTGTGTGGTGTGCAGCGGTGCTTTCCCACAGGATCCCGGGAGGTGCTTTGCTGTCTATGCAGCCCTTGCTGGCAGCGGGCTCAGGAGCTGCAGTCAGTCAGTTTGGGGAATTGCCCCGCAGTGCAGCACCTGTGCATGCTCCTGAGGATGTGCAGGGCTGGGACTGCCCAGCCCGGACTTGATGAGCTCTGTTAATGAGTTGGCTGTGCCCCAGCCGAGTGCTCTGCTGACTGAGCAGTGCTGCAGGGTCAGCCTGGCCCTCCCTGCTGAGGAGCACAGGGGCCCCAGGCATCCCAGGAATTCATTTAGAGGTGCTCTTTCTGTCTTCAGCCTTCATCATTCTTCTGAGTCCTTTATTCTTGCTTCCAGAGAATGTGAAATTGTTATGGCTCTTTATGGGGATTTTGCTTTTTAATTTATTTTGTGATGGACATTTGTGTGTGTGTGTGGAGTAACTGGGATGAGAAAATTAATGCTAAACAAGCTGTTGATTAAACTACTGGGCTTCAAAGGGATTAAGAAAAAAGTTTGGAAGTGACTAAAGGGAGCTCTTAAGGACTTCACTGAGGGTTTTAATTTCTCTAAGTTGCTGATATTTTTTTTCTCATAAAACAGTGCAGTTGTAAGAGCTTCATCTAAAACTGCCCTCCCACACCTCCAGCTGATAAAGACTGTCTGGAATTGTACATGTTCTAGGAAGTAAGATTAGGGAAGAAATAAAACATCAGGATGTAGCTCAGAGAAGAAAACTCTGGTGCTCTAAATGTACCTTCAAAGCCAAATATTTCCTTATCCAAGTTTAAATGGAATGGTTTCAGCTATGTAGAGTGGATTGTCGGACTGACTGGCTGCTCCATGTTTGATAAATTTGCATATAAAAGAGAAAATTGGCTTATACACCATCAACTGTGGCTCCATGGGATCATAGTTGTGTGTTGGTTGTAGTGTGTCAGCAGAGCCCTCTACCAAGCTTTTCTTGGGTTCATGTCCGGAGGATAAAATGGCTTTGCAAAGTACTGGACAGCTATTTGGAAAATTTGGAACCATGTTTGTCCACCCTGCGTCCCATGGGGCTCACTGGGAGATCCTACTGACTTCAAGGATAATTTGGATCATGTCCTGTGCTGGTAGTACTTTCTCATCTGAAAACTGGGATAAAGTGGTAGTGCAGATCTGTCAGATGCTAAATTCATAATTTATCATGTGGATGTTATGGACAAGCTGAAAGCCACAGCCAGTATGTAGAGTTCTTCCTTTATAAATCAGGAAACTTTTACAAATATATATTTCCAAGCCTGGATCCTTTATAGTTAGGTAATTGGGCTTTCTATAAAACCAAATATATTGTGTTTGCTGTTTTTTCTGAAAGGGTTGGACAAATAACTGTCAGGACTGGCTTGGGGAGGGGGAGAATGGGTTCTGGTGTAGGACAAACATGAAGATGCATTAAATGATCTCTAGCTGGCTCCACCATTCTTTTCTATGATTTATGCATTGGCTTAATTTTTGTAATTTCCTTCTTCCTAGCTTGATTAATACTAAATTTAATTTTCTATAATCAACTTGAGCATGTAACTTGAAGAGATGAGGTTTAGGCTGATTGCAGTAAAAATCTACCTATCCAGCCTAGCTTGAATAAAGCAAAACTATTTTTATCCTTAAATGATGCAATATTTTCATGGAGCTCTGCAGCCTACTTGTATTTAAGCTTTGAAAGGAGTGCTCTATTTTTTCAGATCACCTAATGCAAACTTTGCAAATGGGTTTTTTAATTATGAGAGACCCACCTGCATGCCATCAACCAAATTATTAGTGAGGCAGGGAAGGATAACCAATAGTGCTGCCAGACTTAAGGTGAATATGAAAAATGTTTAAATGCCGAGAACAGAAGTTGCCAAGAAATAACTTTAAACACCAGGTGCTGGAGGAACAAATTAATATTACTTACTTTATTTTTAGAAGTAGTGAGTTGAGGCCTGATGCAGATAGACATTTCTGTGCGCAGCAGCACTTGGCTATGCAATAGGACCAACAAAATCAACACAACCTTTTAGAACAAAATATCTATTTTAGTTTAAAAAAGCCTTAGGTAGGGTGAGAAAGAGAACTTAATAAACTCTACTATTTATAAGTCTCTGGTGAGCTGTTGTGCTTATCAGAACTGTCTGTGATGTGGGTTGGGATGACCTTGAACAAGAAACTTATGTGCAAAAGCTCTTCTTGCAAGTGTTTCCCTGGAATGCCCAGTGTGGTTTCATTTTGGCTGTGCTTTACTGATGGCAGGGCCCACTGCTAGGGACAGTGAGTCTAAATATTCTTGCTAAGCTTATTTTCCCCAGTAGTATGGGGAGTCAGAGGTAATTTCTAGAGGAAGTGGGACCTAAAACATCAGTAAGTCAGTATTATGAAGCCAGTTAAAAGGATAGGTCAGCTCAGGAAAATTGCTGCAATAAGCTTCCTGTAGTTTTTTTTTTAGCCAGGTGGATTTGCAGAAGCTTTTTGTGCAACTTCATCAGTGGTGGACCTGAAGGCATGAGTTGGAAAAGTCTGGGTCTTTCCAGTAGATTTAAATGTCTGAAGCCACACTGAAAAAAAGAGGTGCATTGATCATATTTCTGTTGGATGTCTGGTGACTGGGAAACAAGAACTGATAGTAGATCTGTAATTACCTTGTGGTTTTGGGGATTTGCTTCAGCAGCCTGTTGTCACCAGGCTAATTGTGATTGAGTTTGGTTGGTATGAGCAAATGGCTCCTTCCATGGCTGTGGCTGCTTTGATGGCCAAAGCTGGTGAGGCTTCTTCAGTGCAGGCACACAGGTGGTCCCTGAGGAATTAGCTTAAGGGATTAGCTTCAGGTGCTGTGTGCAGCCTGTGATCAGAAGGAACAGCCTGTCAGAGGGCCCCAGCTGTCAGCAGGGTCACGCACGGGAGGAGGTCTCCACAGGACAGTATTTTTAGGTACTGCAGGTGTTGCCTCATCTTCCAAAAATACTTGGTTCACTTAGGATAGGAGGGCTTTGGGTTTGTTTTTGGTTGTTTTTTTCCCCGTTTGTTTCTTGTAAAGTTGAGAGCTGCCTGCTGTGCAGCTCTGTGGTTTCTTTGACTACCTTTTCTTTTACCTGTCCTGAGAAAATCTTCTCAGTGGAGGTGCTCACCTGGTGTCCTGCCGAGCTTTCCCCTGCCTCTTGCTTACCTTGCCTTGTGAGCACTTGCACTGCTGCATGTGCCAGTGCTTGGCCTGTTCTCGTTTGTCTCTAACGTGTTATTACTCCTCAGGTGTTTGACAGGTCTGTCTCATTATTTCTTCTTCTTCCAGCTCCTTTCTGTATTACCAAAGTAATTTACAGCCCTGCCCAATTAGAGCCCCTGTTTCCCTCCCCAGCCGGGTGTGACATTGCCTGCCCTCAAGAATAACCATGATCTTCCTGCAATCCCATCGATGGAA